ATGTTAAGCAACATGCGTCAAATTTGAGCATTCTTATTTCAATTCATCGCCACCAAAGAGCATTAACGTGGCATCTTCAATTAAACTGAGAGTAAATGAAATATCAGGTCGTGCGCATGGCACCAGCTGCCATTTTCAGCGTCACTGGGTTACTTCCTGAATGTGGGCAAGGGAAAAAGAAAGCTGGCAATTGACTCTACGCGGACAGGACAGTGCTACCTTTGGTCCTGCACACCAATTTCTCCTCGCCTGTGATGGGGGCCATGAGAGATGTGTGAGTAACGAAGTCTAGGCCACCCCATTTCTTCTCTGCCTCCATAGAAATGCTAGACATGATAGTTAAGCTTTGGATCAGAAAGGTCGAGGCACGTCTTTCAGAAGGACTCTGATCGTTTCTGTATGAATCATATCAGGATTATATCACTCCTAGCGCTTTTAGTTTGAATCTCCCGGAACTATTACATCAGAGACGTTATCAAGTGCTACACCAACTTATTGCCTCACGATGCCAAGGACTTACTCAAAGTCACCATTGTGGACGTGATGATCAACATTAACAAGAACCACCGAATCCGGAAAATACAAACGAATATGAGGCCGCATCGAGGCAGTCCTCGAGGCCGCATCGAGGCAGTCCTCGAGGCCGCATCGAGGCCGCATCGAGGCAGTCCTCGAGACCGCATCGAGGCCGCATCGAGGCAGTCCTCGATGCCGCATCGATGCAGTCCTCGAGGATAAAGGTGGATTCTAGTGAATAAACTTTGCTGTTTAAATTGAACACATAGACAAAGAAAAGTGCCTAATTATTTTTAGCTAATATCTTTAACATGTAACCCAGTACTTTCTGCTGCATTATGAGGTCATCTGACTCTAAACTGGTTTCCCGCCAGGATTTTCCGATGGAGGAGAGTGACTAGACACTGAACAGGATTAAATACAAAACCTGTCAAATGTCGGATGAACCTTTGTGTATGGTCAACGGTCATCAAGCACATTTGAGTAAATTAAACGTAAAATTACACATTTATACCACATTTTTTAAACTTTTTTTTTAATGCAACATGAATATAATCCCAAACATACTTAACGCACGCATGTATACACGGTGTGCACGTGTACACTTTACTAGATAATGGTTCTGTTAAAAATACCTTTTTTTTTATATTACAGTTGCTGGCTCTCAACTGAAAACTACTTCGTGTGGGCGTTCAACGGACCCGTCGCCTTTATTTTGTTGGTACGTATCACATTTGTTTTCGATTACTCAACTGTTACACGCGAACCGATTCCTCCGTCCAAAGATCTATTTCTGCAAATCAATGTCTCGCTCAAAGAACTAGAAAAAGATTTTAATCGATAATTTTTTCTTAATCATTTGAACGAACTTATTTTTTTAGACGGGGACTCGTGTATATACTCAAACTTATTCGATATATTCGAACTATTACAAAAACAAATACTGCTCATTTGATGCGGCTATTATCAGGCTGGCGTTGAACTCCTTCGACTCTTCTCCTATTTATTTTTTTCTACTTAGGTTCACCTAATACAAGGTTCAAGAACAAGGGTGATGCAAAGTAAAAGAAGATAAAAAGAAGTGAAAATTATGTAGCGATTGACACTTAACTTAAAAATGTACTATTCATGGAAGCACCCACGTACGAGTTTCATCCACAGTTCATGGGGAAAAGGTTGTTTGATTCGATTTTGTGGGTGTAACATGGTGTGTTCTTGCTGCAAAGGTCGGAACTAGTGAAACTAAAGGCTGGAGTACCATCTGAACATTTGCCATGGAAATAGCGATAGATCGGGGATAGGCATGTAAATTTACGCCTGTGGCAAAAAAAGGCGGTAGAGTGGGAAATAATCTGGTATATCAGTCATACATTTTGCAAAGAATAAAAAATCCGAACCCCCAAAAAAGCATCATTATTATCCAAACGGGATCCTAATTAAAATCAGTTCCGGTGTTTCGTAATCATGTGACGTCATTTGACATCCGCTAAAAGTTACCAGATATTGTTTATGATAACTCGAAAAGGGGAAAATAGCACGGCCTCTGTTAGAAATAATGATGGTGACGGTTGTATTAAAGTTGACAATTATTATTGTTTTCTGATCACAGGTTAATGCAGTGGTGTTGACTTATGCCCTTGTTACAATCTACAAACACTCTGGCTATGTGATTCCAGATGATATGGTGGGAACCGTCGCGTAAGTGAAAAATATTATGATTTTTTTTATATTTTCACAAATTAAGACAAGAAACATTGTAATCATTTTTATTATTGCAAATAAACGCAATTATAAATGCTATGTTTTTTAATGAAATCGAAAATAAAAAAATATTTTTAATTAAATTACAATGTCGGGTTTTTGTTCTAATTAATTAAATCACTGGAACATTAAAAATATTTACGTATATATAATAAATTAAATGTATAAATAAATTAATTTAAAAAAAAACAAATAAATAATCGATTACAGACTAATTATACTTAAACCTAACACTCTTTTTGCTTACAAGGGGGATGTCTGGCAGGTCTTAATATATAGGTCTTGACACTAAAATTTTAAGGTGAAAATCAGAAGTCAGTACCAAGAATATGACTTGGTCGAGACACATTAATGACTATTTAATAAATACTCAGCTATTACCGAAGTAAATGTCTTAACCTACCTATATACACTGTCCAAATTATCCTTCTGAATATATTTTTAAAATTAAAATTTTCTTTTACAAATCAATTACGCATCTCATAAAGCGAAAACTTAACAAATCCTTAGAATGAAAGTTCGTGTATCAATGTTGTGAGAATTTTAAAATTCCACAGATGCTGGTTAAAATATTATTCACAAAAAAATGTGTAAAAGTAAACATTTCTGGATACAGCAGCATTGAAACACTTGGGACTTGAAGGTTACGACTTTTTCTAAGATTCCAACCAAGAAGTCTGAAAATCTATCAGGAAGGCCGTGTCCTTATTTAAAATGTAGAGGATAAAGTATGGATACGCGGAGGTGTAATGAATAGCGTATCGAAATGATGAATCGGAGAGCCGTTCGAATTCCAATCGAGTTTGTTAAATTCGTATGGTTGTAAAGAAAAGAAAAAAAAGACTGTCAACTTATAGTAGCAATAAACGTCTGCAATAGATTTCTTCTGTCTCTCGACCGCAACACTTGTTGCCAAATCACAGTTCAAACGATAGTCCATCGTAACAGGCAACGTAGAAAACAACAAAATAGGGTCACAAATCTAACCTTCTCTTCTCACCAGCAAAAACGCGTGTTCGTCCACCAAGCTACGAAAATCAAATTTGTTCACATAAGCGAAAAACAACGGCTTTTGTTCACCGAGAGATCTTTCTGATTTGGTCAAGCTATTCAGGGGAGGGAAGAACATTAGCATAGATTCTGGTCCTTAAAGTAGATCTTTGCTAAGTACTTTTTGGTAATTTTTCTTCGGCAGATCGCACACAAAACACGAACTCGAGGTAGCTGATTATCTCTTTCACTACAATTCGCGTACGCGCAAATACTCTTGCGAAACAGACTGGCTTCTATAGACTTTGTTGACAGTCGAAGAAGGACAACTCTAACTTTAAACCTGATTAAAAACCTTGTCCAATGGAATTAGTGCGAAGTAAACGAACATAAACTCAATCATAATTTGAACTCGGCCCGCCGAATTCATTTCCCACATTGAATAGTGACGTACTTTTATTTATCGAGTACAATCTTACATCAAATTCTCGTTTGTTAATTTTTAAATATTTCTCTATTATTTGTCTTATTTTATCTTTTAGGGCCTGGGCTAAAGGCGCGCTCTCCCTGGAGGTCATTCTTGGGGTTACTTGGCTTTTTGGTTTTTTCTTTGTCAGTCACTCCACTCTGATTATGGCTTACATTTTTGCCATCCTCAACACACTGCAAGGATTCTTCATCTACTGTTTTCATTGTCTTGGTAACAAACAAGTGAGTTCAATCTCTTTTATTTTATTTTCTTCTGCACGGATATAACATTAATGAAAGGTTGTTTCCAATCAGAAGCAAAAAATAATTTCAATCTTTTCGCTTTTGGCTTACGGTCACATCACGTTGAAACATCGTATTCCCCGTACAATCACCAAAGTTAAGCAAAGTTGAGCCTGGTCAGTATCCTAGATGTGTAACCGCTTGAGATAAACCAGGTGTGGTTAGTTTGGATGTACGGGTGGTGTAATGGATAATGGCTCGGAGAGTTGAGTTCGAATTCCAGTTAGGTGTGTTATATTAATTGTAAAATTTCAAACTATAGATTATTAAATTCTTAGTTATTATTTAAATAAAACAAAATATAATAATTGCTTATATGCTTATAGATAAAATTTAAAGCCATAAAATGTTAATTTTTTAGTTATTGTTTTAATAAAATCCCAAAATTATTTTGTGAGAGAAAGTGCAAGATTGCCATGTTTTCTTGTTTTTTTTGTTTTGTTTTGTTTTGTTTTTTTTTTTTGTTGTTGTTGTTTTGTCTTTTTCGTGAGTATGTAAAATTTTGTTTGGAATTTTCTAATCGAGCAGGGACTTTTGCACTGATCTAATATATATATATATATATATATATATATATATATATATATATATATATTACTCACACAAATAAATATGAATAATCTATGTGCGCGTATTATTGAATATATTTTAATATGAACAAAACTTTAATTTGTGAAACGATTTTGTAGAATTACAGTTTCCAAATAAGGATTTTTTGAAACAGGCAAATATTGTAATCGATTTCATGCCAAGGTATCTGAATGATTAATTGAATGATTTATTCGAATGAACTAAAATTGGTTCTTTTTTTCGATTGCTGACAGGTCTGGAAAGAGTACAAGAAGCTGTTAGGCCTTAAAGAGAAAAGCGGCACGGCGTCCAGCACGAAAACCGCTTCTATTAGTCGGAAACCAACGGACGCCGCTACCTACGAAATGGCTGCTCCGAATCACAAAAACTGAACGCTTCCAGAGTGACGTTAAACTCCAATATCCGGTTCCTCTTATAGGGGGGCCTAGAGTCCATATATAGGAACAAAGCTAAAGAAAAAAAAGACGAAATTTACAAATTGAACGGCGATTTATTTTCTTTTTAATTATTTTTTTAATTATTTTTTTCAAACCCGGACTTCATTCTGTGCGGAATTAATGTTGCTAAACAATACCAACAACATTTAGTGTCGTTCGAACAAAACATACAACTCACAGTTTCTCTTTTTTTTTCTTTTTTTTTTTTTTTGCTGTTTTGTTTTCCTTTAAATGAAGGGAAAAAAAGAATGATTCTATTCTTTTCTTATTGACTTCATTTTTGCGTTCCCTACATTTTTTTCTCAAATTGTAAATTATTCTAATATTTCTACAGTTAATTAATGCGGCAATTATTATTATTATTATTATTATTATTATTATTATTATTATTATTATTATATCTTTATAGTTTAACCATGAAAATCAGAGACTATTTCAAATATCTTGCTTGAACAGATTTTTTTTTTCAACTATGAATAACAAGACGTTTGTTTTTCGGCTATTCGGTATAATGATATAATGTTATAACATTTACTAAATGTACAAATTATATTCAGAAGAAGAAATGTTGTTGCATAATTATAAAAGGTTTAACCGAAAAAAACACAGTGCCTTATTATTATTGTAAACGTTCTTACAATCTATTGATTTTAGTAGATGGATACAAAATCAATCAGCACATTGGAATTATCGATCTGGTATTATTATTTACAATTCCCAACAAATTTTTCCCTGCTTATTTCAATGGCTTCATTATTATTATTATTATTATTATTATTATTATTATCCATACATTTGTTTTTTCTTACCAGTTTTTTTTTTTTTTTTTTTTTTTTTTTGTAAGGATCAAGTGATAGCAAGTCTCCACAAATCTCTTGGACTTTCTCTTGCTGAATCCAACACTTCCGTGACCAGAACAGTTTAAATTCTTCCCCAAATCTCCGATTCCTTCAATCTTGTCTCTAGTGACTTTAGGGCGATTCCCAGTGTTACCGTAATGGCGAACACGACCTTACCCTTATATTCCACAATTTCTAAACTTACAGAGGAAAATCCGACATTATTATTATTATTATTATTATTAATTGTATTTACACGTTCGCACCAGATGTCCGGTGGTTATCGTCAAGGATTGAGTGACAGCAAGGTCCCTCAAATTTCCACCATCTTATTCAGTATTCTCGCTAGCCAACCCCCCACCCCCAGCAACGATGTGGTCCTGACAGTCTCAACCCTACCTCGGATTTTAAACATCCAATATCGATTCCAGTGTTTTGGCAGTTTCCACTGAACCATTATTACAGGCCTGATTCTAAATTTCATATTCCCTATTTTTATCAGCTCCCGGGAAAGGTCCTGGTATTTCTATAATTTCCCACTCAGTGGTTCGACGACACAGCTACATCCGCGAGTTGGCAGGTTTTTGTTTTCCTTATTCCTGTTTATTAAATTCGATTTTCTTGTTTGAATGGAGTAATTGATTTGGGTAATGAATTCCCAAAATGCATTGCGATTTTTTTCTTCCCGGACAGTCTCTGCTTTCTGGTGAAACCATTTGAGTAAATGGCTGAACTTCGTTGTACAGTTCCTAGGGTATAATCATTGCCATCCTGTCGTATTATCTTTTCTTTTTTTCTTTTTTTTTCTGGCTACTTAGCTACATTCATTGATTATATGGTTTACTGTTTCATCTTTATACTCACATAGTCGCGGTATCTACTGTTTTTTTATGTGTTTTGTAAATCTTTACTTCCTAATGATGTAGTTTATCCTGATGCACCTGTTCTGGGCTGCGATTATGATAGATTCCATTTCTCTTTTTAACTGTCCTCTGCGTCACCATTCCCATTATTTTTCGGCTGTCATATTCTGTGAATGCCTCTTAAGTTCGCTGTACAATGCAAGTGAAGCGAGTAAAGTGCGGAGTCTCCAGAACAATAGTTGTGGTGATGGGGGGAGTGTTACTCTCTGTAATGTTTTTGTTACTTAACTGAAGAGAAGAACAAGCAAAGAATGTCATTTTATAATAGCAGGATAGGTGTATATCAGTTTATTGTCTTTTTTCATTATTGTTAAATAAAGAGAGGAAATAGCAAAGTTTATACTCGAGCCGTAAATATGGGAAGGCAAATCATTATTATTATTATTGTTCGTTTTTCAAATGAAAATAGAAACTATTTCAATAGTTGTAGTGATAATGAGTGTTGAACCCTTCTATTATTATTATTATTATTATTGAGCTCCTCTGCACTTTTGGTTGAAGTCGAGAATAGACGCTAAATGCTGACCCCCAGACTTTCGTCTCGCTAAATTAGATATTCACATAATCAAGTCAGACTTACAGATAAACAAACCAAGTATATTTGACCCTTTAATAATTTTATTATTATTATTATTGCTGTTGTTGTTGTTTATTTCCTTTGATTTCCTTCCGGGTTCCGACCAGAGACCTAAGGTCAGAAATGGCATCATGACATTTTTCACTGAGCAGTTTAAAAAAAAATGGTAGACAACTTCAGACCACACTCATTTTACCAAGATAAAACTGTTCGTAATGTATGAGCTGAACTTGTGACTACAATTTATTATTATTATTATTATTTGATAGAATATAACATTATTTTTAAAACGACTTATGGTAAATTGCGTTAGTATTTAATGCCGTTTTAACATTAAAACTAGCACACCCCTACTCTCACACGCAAAAATACAATCACACTCACACATACATATATATATAAAAGGAATTTTACTTTCGACATGAACCTGATTTATTCTTTGTTTCTGTTTTTGTTTTTTTGTTGTTTTTTTTTTTTTTTTTTTTTTTTGTTTTTTCAAACTTCCCTTCGGACATTTGAATTCTTGACAATCAGCAAGTATCTAATTTGTAATAATTCCCTCAAATTCTGTACCCCACACACACACACACACTTTTATTCTACGGTTAACCCAATACGAGGCTCAAGAGTTACTTAATATTGAGGGTTTACACTGTTAAAATGTTTATGATGAATGAGGCACATGTGATAGCAAATGAAAGAGGCAGAGAAGATATGCATCAATCTTCACTTTTTAGGTAGAAGTTACTTTTTGATTTCACTAGATCTTTTCTAGGGGGTTCATGCATTTATTTAACAGATACGTTAGTCTATAGCGATTTAAGACTTAAATAGAAGTGTTTATCTGTCATATGTTTGTCTTTTAATGTTTCCGTCGACTTTGTCAACAGACGAAAAGACAGAAATACGGCAAAGCTTAACAAACATCACCGCAAAAATGCCATGTCAAAAGGGCGGTTTTTCTCTTGACACTATTATTGGATATTCCCTCGGCAATTTCGATTGTTTTAAAAAGAGCTATTTTTAGAATGTTAATAAAACCCTAGCATAAGAAACAGGATTTATATTTTTTTTTTCTCGAGAGTTGAAAAAAAATTGTAAACGGAAAATCTAATAAATAGTATTTAATTTTTTTATTGTCAATTCTCATGTTTCATTTATGAATCTGTAATGTAATCAGAAGCATCGACTCGAAATGTTTGTCATTGTTTTATCTGACTTACCTCCCTTAAAAACTTTAAACTCGAAACAAGTTATTCTCTCTTTTTTTTTTTTTTAATATAAGCGTATATTTTAATGCAATGAAAATGAATAGATATTTTAAACATTGTACGAAACATATTAAATACGATCTCCGTTCCACAATAATTGACTCATTCCAAGAGTTTTCTGACGGCCTATTTTTCCTTCGTCTTACCAGCCCTGACCTTTACAACTGGGACTCATCATGCCACCTACGCAAGAATGACTTGTCCCCATTTTCTTTGTATTCCATGAGTAAGAAATAAATTCCATTTAGACAGCTTCTTCCCAAGAACTCATGCTTTATGGAACAGACTCCCAATCACGACAATCTTGACCTCTTCAAGTCCGGGATTATCTTTCCTGCTTAGTCCTATAACATCACTTCTTGCCCTTTCTTACGCTCATCCAACACTACAGAATAACCCTTGAGTGGCTCTTGGGCCTTGTAGTGGGTGAACATTAGTATTAAAGAAAATAGCAAATCTGTTCACTTATTGTGGAACAGAGGCAGTATTTCTTTTCCTGCCAAATTTGAATTCCCTTAACATGAATTCACTCGAAAGCACTTCATAGTGAGTTCTATTTTGATGCCTGTAATTTTATTCTTTTTTTTTTCGTTTTTTTTTTTTTTTCTTTTTTTTTTTTTCGTATCTGGCTCCCTATTCATGAAACTGCATCAACAGTCTTCCCTGGTTTTTACAGAATAGACATTTTAAAATTATTATAATTTTTTTTAAATACAATAAAAAAAATAATCAGCCGACAAAATTTTCGCCTAAACTTATATCCCGTTTTTTTTTTTTTTTTTTTTTTATCGAGTTTGCAGGTTTAATAACAGTGTCTATCTCATCGGTTCCAGAGATCGATGTTCGAACCACAGTAAAAACCTGATTTTTGAATGCTGATTTTAAAGACAGGAAAGCCATTTCCACTTGCAAGAAAGTTGCGTCGCAATATCTTAGCTCCATTTGCCTTTGTGATGTACTATCAGGAAATACGGCTTTTGATGCTGTTGTCTTTCAGCATTTTCGTTGTACGCCATCATCTTTCATTGATTGGGATTTTTTATATATATGTTTATAACAATCTCAAAGAAACATTCTATTAAAATTATTGTTAAAATTATTCAGAATAGATAGCTAGATGAGATATTTTTATTATTATCATTATTATTATTATTATTGATAATAATAATTCAACTGCTGTTGTTAATTTTGCTTTTGAAATCAGCTTTCTTTAACGACTTCTACAAATCAGATTCCCATATTCAATTCCGTTTATTATTATATTCCATTCTGGTTCACATTCTTCAATTCTGTTTTATTGTATTTTATCCTGTTTTTGTCCTTT